TTCTTCTCCAGCAGCTAAATTAACTGTCGGTTACTCTGAGTGACAAGCTTACAGTTAGACACAACACTGTCATTGCAAGTGACCCTCAGTTAGTTGACTTTTATGTTCAACTGCTAAATGCGTTACTGATAAAAAAAGGGCTTCTACTGTACCTATTTACCTTAACACTAATTTATCATTTGCGTACCAAAATTGAGAGAGGGAGAAGGAGAGGGAGAGGGAGAGAGAAGAGAGAGAAGGAGAAGAGAGGAGAGAGGAGAGAGAGAGAAGAGAGAGAGAGAGAGATAGAGAGACAGAGACAGAGACAGAGAGAGAGAGAGAGAGAGAGAGAGAGAGAGAAAGAGATATAGAGAGAGAAGAGAGAGAGAGATATAGAGATATATAGAGATAGAGATAGATATAGAGAGAGAGAGAGAGAGAGAGAGAGAGAGAGAGAGAAGATATTTGCGAGTTGCATATTATGAACTCAGGGTCGGCACGTAGCAACTGGCATTATAGATGTTCGCCTAGGGCGCCAGATCTGTGGAGGCGCTGCGCTGGCAGGTCTGGGAGGGAAAAAAACATTTTTGACCGTTGGGGCTCATCCTAATTTTCGGCCTTGATGTAACAATATTCATAATTATGTAATTGTACACCCTTTTCACATAGGCGGATTTTGCGGGGGGCCGGGGGGGCATTCCCCCCCCCCCTAGTGGCTGAAATATGTTACAGCAATACTACGTCTAAAGCTGTTCCAATACAAATATTTTCGTATGTCAATATTTTAATAGATGTAATATAATGATTGTTACAATACAAATCTGAATAATATCATGTTTTGTTTGAAATAATTTCATTATTGAGCAGTCGCATGTTGTGACGTGTGTGTGTGTGTGTGTGTGTGTGTGTGTGTGTGACGTATGAGGTTAAGGACACAAGTTCCCTCGCTTTTTTTTGCATACAAGTGATTCAGCTATTGTATTACAATAATTAGCAGTAATGGATATGCGGCGATTTATAAAACGTTTAAGGCGTCTACTTCTGCACTAAGTAGGACACTGGTTCATAATATTGTAGCGTGTTCAAGTAACCAAGGGATATAGTAGTTATCAAATAAGTATAAGATGTGCACAGTTATACGTTTTACAGATGTAATGCACTGTTGTTGGGGGGAGAGACCGCCCCTTCCATATGAGTGTGTGTGTACGGCGGGCATGAGGCGTGCATGACGGGACGAGTTGTGTTCGTATGTGGAAAAGTCATACTCAGTGCGGTGAACGCTGGCTTTATTGCTACTGTATCCGTAGCGCCCCACACAATAGTTGGGACTGTTTACTGACGTCAGTAAAAAAGGTTTGCCCCCCCCAAGCGCAAATGTCAAACTCCGCCTATGCCTTTTCACCCCGGTTACACATTTCATTTGCCCTGTACGATGGGCGCTGTAAGTGATGAAAATGGGGGATGTTCGCTTATCTGGCGCCCGCAGCTCACAGCCAAAGTGCGAGTGAGCGAGGGAGAGAGAGAAGGGTGCACCGCCCGGTACCGGCGCTGTTGTTATTAGAATCTGGTGCTAGCTGCTCTAACGGATGTAAGAAGAAGATGTTTCTACAATGATGTGGAGGGAGAGTTCTCTCCAGTCAGACTGAGAGGCTGATAACTACAGCTCAGTGAGGTAAAGGACTCTGAGTGTTTAGATAGTTCACTTTAGTCTAAGTTCAAACAGTTTGGTTACAATTTATGTAAACACATATTTCCAAGGCACTCCTTTATAATTATTGGGATAAACAGGTTTGAAATCATTCCAATGTATACTATAGGACAGTAAACCAAAAACATCCTATAAAACTGGAGGGATAAAAAAAAAAAATGCATAAATAAATGTTACGGTAAAATAAGATATGAATGAACAACACAAATAAAATAAGTTACATTCATTTCTTATTGTCTATGGTAGGTTATTGGTTATGTTCACATACTTATTTGATTACATCCACTTGTCTAAGATGACAACAGAGACTTTCGACCCAAACCCAGCTGTTGACTTGTGGATGCAAGCAGCTAATCGCAGACTCAACCAGAGAGAAAGAAGTAGGCCTACCATCAGCTACCATGTCTGACAGAGAGGAAGATAGTGAGGAGAACAGTCAGGAGGGTAGTGATGACAGCTTGTAGGATTACTGGTCGTGCTAATGTTGTCTTGTGTTCACCTCTGCATGTGTGTTCTGTGTTCACCTCTGCATGTGTGTTCAGTGTTCACCTCTGCATGTGTGTTCTGTGTTCACCTCTGCATGTGTGTTCTGTGTTCACCTCTGCATGTGTGTTATGTGTTCACCTCTGCATGTGTGTTCTGTGTTCACCTCTGCATGTGTGTTCAGTGTTCACCTCTGCATGTGTGTTCTGTGTTCACCTCTGCATGTGTGTTCAGTGCTGTGTGTCTGGCAAATAAAGTCAAGACCCCCTCAAAAGTTACGGTTTATTTCATTTTAAGGATGAGCACCAAGCAACATCTCCAGGTGCTCCTTTGAGAACCAGGGCAAAAAAGTTATGTGCACCCCTGTATATATATATATATATATATTTTTTGTATTCCAGTCTCCCTTCAGATATGTTAAGTGGCATGTCATTCAACACAATGCTGCTCACCTCCTTCAGTTGGGAGAAAAGCTGGTTCAGGTTCAGCCTGCTGAGCCTAAAGATGGATCTGTTGGACCTGGCACCAGGGGGAGGGACAACTGATTTAGTATGAATAGCTGCTAAAAATGTGCCTGCATTTATTAAAGGTAGTTAGGTAAGAATGGAGAAACCAGCTCGAGTGCGCTAGAATTTGAAAGTACACAACCGAAAAAAATCTGCCCCTTCCTTCAGACTTCCTTACAGAGCCCCTCCTCCAACACACACGAACGCGCACATGACCAATGAGGGCATTAAATCAGTTTGTGCACAGATGGAAGGCTGACAGGCAGGTAGGCCATCCAGTTATTTTAGCCGGGCCCGGCTCAGATGATTGGTCGTGCTTTTTACAGCGCCACAGCTTCCACAGATGACATTTTTGTATGTATTTATTGTCAAAGCATTTCATATATTCATTGCTATCGGGATGTTAAGAGCATTCCATGGAATATAACAAAAAGTGTTTCTGAAGTGAATTACCTACACTGTAAACCCGAACGTTCAAAATAATTAAATAGATTAATTAGTGTAAACTTAAATTTAAAAAAAAAGTTCTACTAACTTCAATATATTCAGTTCCTGTGACTGTTCTTCGTTTTTGAGTTAAGTAAACTGATAATCTTTGATTAACTTGAACTATTTGGCGGATTAAGTAAGCATCACTTAAACATATACATTGAACTGTACTCATTTCTAATGCTTATTGTGTGTCTGACGTCACTAACCGTCACTAACTGTCGAACGAAAGTGGGATGCAGCGCATGCAGCTAATACCTGCAATAAGGTGGATCTTCACACTTAATTTCCACACTTTCCGGTGGTAATCAGCATCATTGGTCTCACTGTAAGTGCAATATTCATATTTCTTCACTTTTTTAAATATTTTGAGATTAAACATGTGAAAGAGAGTGTTGATGTCAGCCAGATACATGCATGTTAGCTAGCATTAGCCATAGGTTGAGTCAGCAGATTCACAGAAATGCCTGAATTATTTGCACAGTTACTGTATAATGTTAACTTGTAAGATATGTAGTTGTGGAAACTTGGTGCCAAAATAGGGCTGTCACTTGTTGTATGATGAAAAATGTCATTGCCCCTAAGCTAATTATGTATTCAAAAAGTTCAGCCAAATGCATTGTGGTTGTGGGTGCTCGTAGTGACGGCAGCCGTTGAAACACTAACATAACAGGTAGGTTTCCTAATAAAAGCCTTCAATGTTAGTTTAATCAATTTATACTCAAATTTGTGTCATAATATACCCAACCATTTACTTAATTTACTACGAGCAACCCCGAAGGCATTGGACTGAAAGTCACTATTTAACACGGTCACTAGCTAGCTAGTTTGCTAACAGTTAGCAAGCTAACATTTTCATCCACGAGGTGCGGAGGATTGTGTGTGCTCCCTCCGTGCTCTCCTCGCTGCCGCTGAATTAAGAGACCCGCTGCTAAAGTTTAACACTCTCCTTCACCCAGGTTTCAACCTCTTTATACGGTTTCAACGAGCGTGAGGCCACACACACGGGACGGAGCAGAACAGAGACAGGTAATGTTAAATTGAATATAACGTTGTCAGTTATAAACAAGCTCGGTAGTGAACGCTTGTCCATTTGTTGTCCATTAATTCATCATTTACCATACTAACATTTCCCCAATGGATGTTTAAGAATGTATTAAACAGTAGCTTACATTACATTTTAAATATAGGATTTGTTCAGCTTTAGTCTGAAGGAGATAAACCACACTGTAAACCACGAGGCGCGGAGGGTTGTGTGTGTTTGTGTTCCCTTCCTCGCTGCTGAATTACGAGAGCCGCTGCTAACGTTTAACACTCTCCTTCACCCAGGTTTCAACCTCTGTATACGGGTTCAACAAGCGCGAGGCCACACACACACACACACACACACACACACACACACACACACACACACACACACACACACACACACACACACACACACACACACACACACACACACACACACACACACACACACACACACACACACACACACACACACACACACACACACACACATGGGGCAGAGCAGAGAAAGGTAATGTTAAAGTGAATATAACGATGTCAGATTATTAACAGGCTTGGTAGTGAACGCTTGTCCATTTGTTGTCCATGAATTAGTTACTAACATTAACTCAATGGATGTTTAAGAAGTTATTAGGCAGTAGCTTACATTACATTTTAAATATAGGATTTGTTCAACCTTCCCCAAGGAGAGGATCCCTCAAGTCTTGAGCACTTGAGGCAGACAATTGTTGAGGAAGTCAAGAAGACTGAGATGGACCTACCCCTCATTAAAAAGATGATGCACACCACATTTGCACTCACTCAAAGAAATAACTCATTGGATTAACTCAATTTTATTGTTGGCAGGTTTTCCATCCAATAAATATATGTGGCACAAACTCAAACTAATGGCATCCATGCAGTATAATGTAAATGAGTTAGTCCAACTCAAATTTTTCAAATAGAGTTTAAGTAAAATGATAACATTACCTTTATGAATTTAAATAATGCTAGTCCACCTAAATCCTATTTAATTAATTGAAAATGAAATAATGAGGTTAAATATAATTTAATAAAAATGTGTTACACATGATAGAAAACATGGTTTAGTTTTTTTTATTTTTAAATTCACATTATTCAAAACAATCCTCCATTCAATACAGTCTTTTTAAAATGAATGAATTCACACTGAAAGATGAAAAACATTTCTGAAAGATAATACCATTTTTAAAATGGCAGAGAAATGGAACTCCTATAATTAACTTACAAATCTCCCTTTGCCAAATACAATGAATACAATATAACAGGGGTATGCACTGCTCTTCTAACAGGACAATAACACATAACATAAAGAGTGCACTGCAAACACCAACATATGGAAATAGTGTTACAGTGTGTTGAAACAAATACAGAAAAGCACAGAACAAATGATTGATATAACGGCTCAATCTGCTCTGACTAGGAAACTCGTGAATAAAATGACAACAATGAACTCATGAGTCACTTCTTTTTCACATTTCAATCGAACAACTTGATCTTCAGACTTTCGATTTTACCATTCAGCTTGTGCCCATCCAGATTCATCACTACCTTCTGCATGAACTCGAAGGTGTGTTTGAGGTTGTCCGGAAAGCTCAAATCCAGGGCATAAATAAGTCCCAATAGCATGACAAACCCCACAATCACGCTGCCCAAGTTGTCCATGACTATATTGCCTTCGATGACAATTCCCACGTCCTCTGGCTGCCCATCCACATCTCTTTGAAGTGTGTATATGCCCATGACTGTGTTTGCCATGTCCCTCTTGGCATCTTCAGAGGCAGAGGCCTGAACAAAGACACAAACATACAACATATGTGTTAACTAAAACCTGAATTACTACATTTTATAGAAGCAGATTTACTTATGTGGCTCTCCTAATTGATCAAAACAGTTTTAGACTAACCCTCTGGTATCACTCAAATGTACTACCCTATTTGGCCACTCAGGATAAAAATGTCCACTTTCAAAAACTTGAATGATAAAATGATATGATACAAATATTATATTTAAATATTTTTCCCCCACACTTTTTGGGAAGTGTGGGAACATTTTTTAAATGGACAATTAGGGTAATTTGTACAGTGTATTCGAGACGGATTAGAAAAATTGAAATTCCAAAAAGTATCTAGAAAAAACACAAAATCATTATAGCCAAATCTGATGTGAAAAATTACCAATTTGGACAAAAATGTCCGAGTGATACCAGAGAAGGTTAGGACCTCCAACACAGAACTAAATTAAGCTTGTAAGAAAATGTTTGCATAAATAAGTTATAAAGATATATTCCTGTATGTTCTGTTTGATTATCAACGTTATCTTATTTATTAATTCAGGTATTATTTGTTTACATCCCTACTTAATAATGTAATTTGTTGTTATTCCTGTAGTTAATTATGCATTTACCTACTTATTTCGATATGTATTTGATTATTTATTCTTTAATAATTTATTTCCTTGTTATGTGATTATGTAATTATTCCTTTAACAATTTAGTAATTGCTGCATTCACATACCTTTTTAAACATGAATCTATTGATTAATATATTTCAGCATTTATTTATTATTTTATTTATGTATTTATTCAATTATTTATAAGTTCTTACATATGTATTCATGTCCATATTTATTTATTCATTTATAGATGTATTTATATATAAATGTAAATATTTATTTCAGCATTCATTTATTATTTGTATTTATTTCCAGATATATTCATGTTTTAATTCACATTTGTATTTATCAATTGTATTCCTATGTTAATTTATAGATGTATTTATATCTGTATAAATGTATTAATTCACTTTTTTCTATATTTATTTTAACACTTGCCCGATGAAATTACTTCTGTATCTATTTATTATTATTTTTTTATTTCTGTATTTATTCATTCTTACATATATTCATTCCTATATTAATGTATAGATTTATTTATTTCTGCATGTATTTATGATATGTGATAAGATATTTAGATGTAAGCAGGGATAGGGTTGTGTGCCATATAATTTTCTTATTATAAATGTAAGTAATGGTGGTTATAATTGTGGGTAACACTGTTAACCAATACATTGAAAACATATTGTGATAAACATACCTGATACTCCTTAAAAAAAGAGTCTGGATCCTCGTTGAGGTAGATCGCGATGCTTCGCAGGATGCACCCCCTCTTGATGTGGATGTTTTCAAACTAAAGCAGGGGCGATAAATCAAAGACAATTAAGCACAATGCATGTGCAACAGAGCAGGTAGTTTACAAAGTAGAGGGCTGTATCTGTCGTGTGTGTCCCTAAGCAGGACTCCTTACACCTACATTTCCACAATAAGCTATTGCCTTAAAAACACTATAAAAGCAGACAATTTCTTAAATGTGTTCATATGATCATGGACAAAAACAATACAGTGAAAAACGAGGTTCTCTGCATTTATACTAACCGAATCTGATATTGCAAGGGCTTCCTTGATTTTGTGCCCCTTCACTCCTCCTTTGGTCTTGAAGATCTTCAAGAGCTTGTCTGAGAAGTGGTCCAGCTGCCACATGAACTTTGATTGAAGTGGTGATGTTGTGATCCTCAAAAACTCCGCATTCACCTTAAAAATATTATTAACAAGCACAATACAACCAATTGTTACTTGTTTATTAGAATCACAACCATGCAAGGATGTAGACATGAATCACAAAAGACAATAATAAAAGACTGTCAACAAATACAAATATTTACTTACTTCACTCTGCTGAAACAGAGCAGGCCATCTGCATTTGAAGTCCCCTATCAAAGGCCTTTGCTCCACAATCTCAAGGCGTCTGTGGGAGAAGGTTTTTTCCATTTTTGCTTTTATCACCACTTCATTGTCACGCTTTTTCAGTTCTGACAATAAGGCAATTCTCTCGTTCTCCAAGCTTTCTGTGGTTTCGCCTTTTGGGTGCAGAGGAATGTAGTTTACTTCAGCTTTTCTTGGTTTTTTTATGTTTGCTGCAGCTTTGCCTTGGCCTGTTTTCTTGTGCTTTAAGGAATTCACAAGGATTTCAGGATGTCCAAGACGGCCAAGCTTTGTACGATAGTTTTGCATTTTGTACTTAAGAGACTGTTTCCACCCCCCAAATCCTATCTTGGATCCTAGCTGCCCCAAACAAGGGTGGGCCCTCGTCAACGCTGCAGCTACCTCTTCACACTGATAGTCTTTTGGATATTTTGTGAATTTGATCATTTCTTGGGCTAGGCCATCAAGAATGACTCCTTTCAGCTTTAGGCCAGGCTGGAAGTATGTACCAGTTGTCTCAAACTCTGCATTCTGTAGATGAAGCTCAAATTCAGCCTCGTAGGTGAGCTTAGGAACCACAAAAACTGTGGGCCAGGATAACAATTGTGAGGCCTGAGCTTCAGGGGATGGATGCGGGGTTGACGTATACACCATATCATCACTGCAGCATGAGGCTATTGATGATGCAGGGATTAGAGACTCTGAGCTTCCAGTAATTGAGGTCTTATCAAATGAGTCAACTGTGTACTAAGTGATGGAGGGCTCAATATTTGACAATATAGGAGAGTAAATTACTTTCAGTGTGCTTTTATCCTGAATTTCAGACACTGATGTAAGATTCATGAACTCGTTAAAGTCAACATCCATGTATTGCAGACGGAAGTCCTCTTTCAATTGAAGAGATGTCTTGACAAATGTGTGCAGTTCTTCAACTGTTGCTGGGATTCCCGAATCCAGGGTCAGTTTTCTAGAGTCAGACTGGTCGGCAAAGATGATGCGCAGAAGCGCCCGACCTGCCGTTATGGAACACCTTTTAATCTAGAGCAGAAACAAGGTGAAAGAATAACAAGAAAGAAACACATTAGGATTATATCAAAGATGAACATAAAAATGTTTTTACAGTTTAACTGCCCCTTAAATGTGCATGTGTCTGCTGGAAATGTTTTAACAACAAATACCTGCTAGCTAGTTCCAAACTGCAGTGTTTGCACTGCCACATGCATAACCTGAAAAAGAGAATAAATAGAATTAGCAATTGACACTGAACAACTGACAATGTCACAGATCAGCTTGTGCAAGTATTGTGAAAGTAGCCGTGTACTTACCATAAATAAGAGGTTTCCCCAAGGTGCTTGTTAATGCTGATCAAACTGCAAAAGACAACAAATATATTTTAGAGGTGTGATTAAAATGCTTATATATTTGAATTTTCACAGAAAACACATAATTGCCTAAGATTGCACAACCCAAAAAACGTTTCTGCACAACTCTGGGTGCCTGCTTGTGAGTGAAGTAACCCATACAAGATTCACATATATATTATCTCATTATTTATATTAAATATTTGGCAGTAAAAAACTAAACTCAACTGAACTCCTACAGAAACGAGTGGCTCCGCCTGTCCTCCTCTGCCTGCCTGCACTAAGGCCAGGAGAGAGATGGACACACCTGCTGAGCTTTATGATAGAAAATGGCAGCCCTTGCATGCAGGCTCTGCCTCCTATACTGTTACCTCATTCACTTGAATTACTCTTTGCATTTTTTGGTTGAATTTAAACTGAATTTCGGTGTACTGTGTTCAATGACAATAACGTTAAATCGAATGTAATATAATCTAATGATCTCCATTATCCAGTATCCAATGCTAACCGTATCTAGCAAGCTAGCTAACAAACCAGTTATTTGGCTAGCTAGCTTGCCTCATGCACTTTAATTACTCTTTGCATTTTTTGGTTGAATTTAAACTGAATTTCGGTGTACTGTGTTCAATGACAATAACATTAAATCGAATGTAATATAATCTAATGATCTCCATTATCCAGTATCCAATGCTAACCGTATCTAGCAAGCTAGCTAACAAACCAGTTATCTGGCTAGCTAGCTTGCCGCTTTACCTCATGCACTTTAATTACTCGTTGCATTTTTTGGTTGAACTTAAACTGAATTTCGGTGTACTGTGTTCAATGACAATAACGTTAAATCTAATGTAATATAATCTAATGATCTCTACTATCCAGTATTCAATGCTAACCATATCTAGCAAGCTAGCTAGCTTGCTGTTTAGACCCAACTAAAAACGGAGCAAAATATAACACGGTGGTTTCAAATATTCTTGTCGATATTATGAAAAGGCATTACTTGGAAACAGGGAACATTCTAAACTACTAGAAAAAACAAATACTTACCAAATAATAGACTTTCCACCGTCAGTTTCCCCAGTCAGTTTCCACAGTCAGTGTTAGACAAAAGGCGGCAAATGACAGAACGGATGTTGCGCATACGCAAAGGGGGTGTGCAAAGGGGCGGTCCCCAATGAAAACAATTCATTTTGAGTTGCTCTGTCTTAAATACATTTAATAAGTGAATTGATTAATGTAATTTGTGTTACACTAATGAACTATACTTAGGTTTATTTCTTAAATAAAAATATTTAAGTAAAGTGAAACCATTTTTAATGTGTCAAGTCTAAGAAGGGCTTGAATCATTTTTTTGAGTGCTGTCGCCCTTTAGTCCCTCTCTCTTTTCTTTCTCTCCTTTCTCTTCTTTTCTTAGAGCCTGACTTTGTTGGTCGTTGAAACATGGTACAACACACTTATGTAGGCTAAGTACTAGCATCCCTCCTCACATGCTTTCACTCTCTGCAAGTGCCGGTTTGGAGGCAGGAGCAAACCATATACATGTAAATAGAAGGGGGTGTACAGAGGCTTTGGGTAATTACCTTTTGGAAGAAAATAAGTTAAATGAATCGTAAGTTTAGTGAGTAATTTATCAATATAACATTCTATTAATATTAATTATTGAGGATTGATGAAAGGTTACTTACATTTTTTTTCTTAATGTTCTAAACATGTTGGGGCCCCTGTCAGTCACGGGCCCTTAGAATCGTCCTAACTTTTCACCCCCTTACGGTGCCCCTGCCCTCATCTCCCGGTCAAGTCACGCATCCAGTACAAACTCCTCCTGCTAACTTACAAATCTCTCCACTCCCTAGCCCCTGCATACATCTCTGACCTCCTTCAGCCCTACACCCCCTCTCGTCACCTGCGGTCCTCCGACAAAAGGCTGCTCTCCATCCAGCGCTCCAAGCTAAAAACCTTTGGCAACAGGGCTTTCAGTGTCGCAGCTCCCACCCTCTGGAATGTTCTCCCCTCTGCAGGAATGCTGACGCTCTGGACACTTTCAAAAAACAACTCAAACACCATCTATTCACCCGGGCCTTTGGCCTCAGCTAAAATGCAGTACCCAGCAACCGGTTATTTAAAAAAAATGTCTACCTGTGTATCCTTGTGACTATTATTATTTTGTTGTTTTGTTTCCCATTGTAAAGCGTCCTTGGGTCTCTTGAAAGGCGCTATAAAAATTATTATTATTATTACCGATGCATCACCCTCTCCACAATATCAACCAACACCGATTTCACTGTGTCCATAAACAGAGACGTCTTGGCCCAAGGAGTAAAATCAGCAGCAGTAGTACGGCAATATTTGGTTGTCCAAAATGGTGGTGATGATGGTAGTCCATGAGTTTGTTCCTGGCTGCAACTCGCAGGGGGAGACTTGGTTTTTCTCAGATCCATGGCTAGTTTTCAACGGTCGTCTTAGTGGGGTCCTTCGTTTTAGATGATTTGCTGAGTGGAGGGTGGGACTTATTGCGTTGAATGGGGGGAGTCGTCTGTAGAATTGAGAGTTTTTTTTAAAATTCTTTAAGCTTTGTAGCTTTTTCATCTATCATTTCCAACCAAGCAGCAAGAGGTCAAATTTAAGAATAAGTAATAGTTTGTCATGATTTTACGGAAAAAGTCAAAAGTATAGTTTGTCAGAAAAAATATATATGGAAAAGTCATTGTGTATGTTGAAAATAAAAAAAAAAAAAGAAACTCAATTCATTACAAATTAATGAATATTTTACCCAGTTCTAAAGTTTTGCACCCATTAAAGAAAACCCCATTCCTTACAAAGTACTTCATAGTATACCCTTTGTTAAGTGTTGCTTGCATACATCAAAGTGTATCTAAAAGTATCTTGGTAGCAGAAAATAACTAAAATATGTAAGGTTATCAGAAAAAAACGCACATTGTTTAACTGAACAAGTGTTTAAAAAACGGCCATTAAAAGAAACCGAATTCCTTACAAAGTACTTAATATTCTATCAGTTGTTAAGTGTTGCATACATCAAAGTGTGTCTAAAAGTATCTTAGTAACACAAGAAAAGAGAAAAAAGCATTGATGTTAACAAAACTGGATTGTTCCACTGAAATAGCGTTAAAATCAAAAGTGCCTTTAAAGAAAATGTATTCAGACAAAGTATTTTATTTTCAAAAATGTTTAAGGTTTTGCATACATAAAAAGTGTATCTTACAGTTCCTTTGTGAGAGAATTACACACAAATCTGCCGAGTGTCAGTAAAAAGTGTTAAAATCACAAACTTGCCTTTGAGAGAAACAGTCTTTAAGAAAAAATCTAATCAGACAATGTACTTCATTTTCTAGTTTTAAGGTTTTACATACCTCAAAGTGTGTCTAAAAGTATCTTGGCAAGAGAAAAAAGCCAAAATCTGCCTAGACCATTAAAAGAAACCGAATTCCTTACAAAGTACTTAATATTCTATCAGTTGTTAAGTGTTGCATACATCAAAGTGTGTCTAAAAGTATCTTAGTAACACAAGAAAAGAGAAAAAAGCCAAAATCTGCCTAGTGTCAGTAAATAAGTGTTAAAATCACAAACTTGCCTTTTAGAGTCACAGTCTTTAAGAAAATAAAAGTGTTACACAGTGACTGACATTCTACCAGTTGTAAAGTTTTCAGACACCAAACTGTATCTAAAAGTATCTTAGTAACACAAGAAAAGAGAAAAAAGCATTGATGTTAACAAAACTGGATTGTTCCACTGAAATAGCGTTAAAATCAAAAAGTGCCTTTAAAGAAAATGTATCCAGACAAAGTATTTTATTTTCAAAAATGTTTAAGGTTTTGCATATATAAAAAGTGTATCTTACAGTTCCTTTGTGAGAGAATTACACACAAATCTGCCGAGTGTCAGTAAAAAAGTGTTAAAATCACAAACTTGCCTTTTAGAGAAACAGTCTTTAAGAAACCATTCTAATCAGACAATGTACTTCATTTTCTAGTTTTAAGCTTTTGCATACATCAAAGTGTGTCTAAAAGTATCTTGGCAAGAGAAAAAAGCCAAAATCTGCCTAGACCATTAAAAGAAACCAAATTCCTTAGTTGTGTAGGGGGTTAGCATCAGACCTGTTGAAGGGGGGCGTTACAAGGGGACGAGTCTGTCTGGCTCTCTGAGGGATGGTGTGTGAGAGGATCAATGAAGATCAAACTTAGATCAGCACTTGTCGCAGAAGGTAGGCTGTGTGTAAACTCCAGAGAGGGGAGGTTTTCACGCTGTATAGATATGTCGTCGTGATGGTACACTGATGGCTGGCTTACGCTGCAAACTTCATCACCTTTTAACAAGAGAGTAAGTATATAAAACGTTATTTTGGATATTTTACACATCAGCAAAAAAAATAAGCTAGATACAAACACATACAGTTTTAAATACATATATACTCACTTTCCACAGGGAATGAATCATATGTGGTTCCACCAAAATAGTTAATCCTCTCTAATATTCTAATTCGTATTTGGTTCAGACTTTCCTGAACTGAGACACACACAAAAAAAGATTTGATTAAAAATCTACACCACATTATTTGTACATAGAAGGGTACTTTCCCAAAGCTTCTAAACCATTACGAGCCATAGTGCTGTTACAAAATAAAACAGATGCACAGAGGTTGTTTAACACACACCAAGCAACATTAAATAATTACATGATATTATAAAATAAAAATAAAAAGTACTTACCAGAGTTTTTCAAGATCAGATCCAGGTCAAGAAAACGCAGAGAGGAAGTATGGTGCTGGCTCATTAGCCCTCTCACTCTTCTTAGAATGATCCTGTGCATTTTTACAGTTGAACTCCTATCCCCTTATAAACCAAAATAACAATAGCCCTTAATTAACACTAATCATTTTAAAAACCTTAAATCTAATTTAGAGAGGACAACTAAAGTGTAAGGTGACTTTTTTAAACTAATTCCACTACTCTGTCTACTGGCATTACAGCAAAAACAGAGAGATGGCAGGAAGGGGGGAGACAGTCTCCCCCAACTTTACAGACACTGTGTTTAGAGAGGAAAATACAAGTGTAAGGTAACTGTTTTTAAATTCCATCTCCCCTCTACTGATAAGATGGCAGGAAGGGAGGAGGAGGGGGTAGGGACAGGCTCACACACACACACACACACACACACACACACACACACACACACACACACACACACACACCTTCACAGACACTGTGTGAGACTCCAGACCTTTATAAACTAAAGTACTTCAACATTAGTTAACAGTCTCCCCAAAACTTAAAAACCATTATGAATCATAGTGCTAATACACAATAAATACAATATATACACAGAGGTTATTTAACACACAACATACAACATTTAATAATTATATGAAGTACTTACCAGAGTTTTTCAGGATCAGATCCAGGTCAGGAAAACGCAGAGAAGAAGTCCTGGGGTGGTTCATTATCTCCTTTCTCTTGCTGGAGAAACTAGATCTCCTTATATACCCTGACAATAGCCAGGTCAATGGCTCAAAAAAAGAATGACAACCAATCGGTCTAATCCTTGCAATGTAGACAGAGACTTCCTCATAGCTAGTAAACTAATCAATTAGTTAACACAAATCATATTAAAACCTTAATCTAATTTAGATAGGACAATAAAGTTTGTGTGGTGACTTTTAGTATAGTAGAGAGGGGAGTGGCAGGGGTAGACAGTATCACACACTGTCTACCTGCATCACCGCAGAAGGAAGGAGGCTTTGAAACGAGAGTAGATGTTAGCTTAGGTTCCCGTTAGAAAGGGCTGTCTGATGAAGAAGGAAAGTGGTAACATACATCAATACTATTTTTAATTGTTATGTTTATGGTGGCCTTTCTTTAGGGGGCTAAAATAAGATTTGATGTAGGCGCGGTCCACAGCAGGGTAGGGGGAAACAGTCTCACACACACTATCTTCTGGCACGACTTCAGAGAGACTGTCTTAATTAACACATAGATTGACATCAAAGGCTAATTCGATTGACAACAGTAGGTAGACTACAATGGGGCATATCAGATCGGCATGTTATAACACTTCGAACAGTGGGTCATTATGGGGTCATTATAGATAACACCTCGAACAATGGGTCAATATGGGGGTCATTATAGATAACACCTCGAACAATGGGTCAATATGGGGGTCATTATAGATAACACCTCGAACAGTGAGGTCATTATGGGGGTCATTAGCATAGTAGCCGTTTCCGGCACCTGTCACTTTATAAGTAGTAGCAGGTGTGACCTGTCACAGCACCTGTCACTTTTTATGCATACTAATGTGATGGAAACAGGATC